TTCATATGGAAATACTAATTCATAACGCTTTATGTTATATAAAATTTAATTTATAAAAATTTCAAAATAAATCAAATTTAACACAATGAATATAACTGCAATCGAGGTTTTTGACGATTGATTCTTACGTGAAGTTTTCCAAACTTTGAGTTAATGTCAAGACATTAACTCAAAGTTTGGAAGTCTAATAAAGGGAATTGTAGGCTATGAGGTACTGATTATATATCAGTGCCTCATAGCCTACAATTCCCATTAGAAATCGGAGAAACTTTGTCCGCATAACTGATGATGCGGACAAAGTTTCTCCCATTTCTACTTAGAATGAAAGGGCAAGAGGTATATAGGTACACTATATATCTCTTGCCCTTTCCTTCTTACCTAAAGACTTCCAATCTTATTTTTTTTCCAATTTTTCCCCTAAATTTAAATCTTATATAATATAAATAAAATACATAATATCAATCACAAAAATTAATGTTTATTTTTTTAATTAAAATTGCCGCGCAATTTAAGGTTTTCTGTCACTTTTTTGTGAGCCATTTCGGTACGAAACAATTACAAACTTACAAGAAACCTTAAACAGGAAAAGTGACGTTGGACATACACATACCATTGCAAATATTACAAACTTACAAGAAACCTTAAACAGGAAAAGTGACGTTGGACATACACATACCATTGCAAATATTACAAACTTACAAGAAACCTTAAACAGGAAAAGTGACGTTGGACATACACATACCATTGCAAATATTACAAACTTACAAGAAACCTTAAACAGGAAAAGTGACGTTGGACATACACATACCATTGCAAATATTACAAACTTACAAGAAACCTTAAACAGGAAAAGTGACGTTGGACATACACATACATCTTCTGAAATAACAGACTTAAACGTTAGCCTTGAAAACAAAGCAGATAAAACATATGTCAATGAAATATACCAAAGTTTGATAGGAACAAAAAATATTGAAACTATTGTTGGTGACTTTTCTGTCAATGAAGAAAATAAATATTTTAGATGGCAGTTGGTACAGTCCTTAAAAAATGGTACACGGCATAAACTCATTCCGAAAAATAACAATGAAATGTATGTAAGCTATAAAAAGAATGATGGTACACAAGTTAAAGTTCCATTAGACAACAACTGCTACTTAAACTTATATGGAGACGAACAAAAGAAATATTTAAGAGTTTATGAAATGGTGGATATGATATTACCTGACCCAGCTCCGGCACCACATTATTATGACTATGGAGATGACGACAGAACACCACATGTAGATGAACAAAAGCTAACATTATATTTAGATTATTATAGATATAAAAGATATAATGCAATAGAAAAAACGAGAATAGTATATTATTATACAGATGACAGAAATAAATATTATAGTCAAGATTTTACCTACCCTGAAAACATAAGATTATATTATAAAAAATATTCTGACACAAACCAGAAGAAACCTGAAATAGTTGCACTATATTTTAAGTTCAAAAGAGACAATCCTATAATATCTCATATGTTTGATTTAATGAACCCAGTAGGTTCTATTTATACATCTATGGATGCAAGAGGTCCTCAAGTAATGTTTGGTGTTGGTGCATGGGAACAAATAGTCGACAGGTTTTTGTATTGTGCAAACTCTTCAAAGGAAACAGGTGGAAGTAAAACGATTTCAGGTGAAAATTTACCTGCACACAGTCATTACATAGATTTAAGTACATCTCAAGCAGGTTGGCATAAGCATAGATATTGGGATTGGTCAGGAATGACAAAAGGTAAAGGATATGATGTTAAAGACGACGTTAAGTTTGCTATAAATTGTTACTGGGATGACACTCAGGGAGAAGGAAACCATACACATTTCGTTTCAGGATATACGCAAACAACGGGACAAAGTAAAGAATACATGCCACCTTACATGACAGTTTACGCATGGTATAGAATTGCTTAGTCGTCATTTTCAACTTCTTTAGCATATTCGTCAGGAGTTGTCTTATATTTGTTAGGAACTGTCTTTGAAAGTATACCACCTTGAACTTTGACAAGTTTGAAACGAGGTCTGACAATAGTAGTTTTATCTTCTGCTTGCAGTGTGTACATTTTGCCATGTTTGCCTAAAACTTCATAATATTCTCTTGTATACTTTCTTCTATTTTTACGAACACGAATGTGAGTACCTGTCGGGTTCCCATTGTTGTCATAGTCAATAGTATTTTCATATGGGTCGCGTTTAGGTATTTCTATTTTTACTTTGTCACCTTTCTGAAGTTTGAAGCCCGGCATTCTTTCTTGTTTGTCTCTTTTGACTAAATTATTAAATATATAGTCTTTCTCTAAGTCAGGGTTGTTTTTCATTTCTTCGGGGGAGTGGTTTCCCAAACCTTTTTGTTTACGGTTATTGTAAATATTTAAAACTTGTCTCATCTTTGCCTGGGAGAAGTGTCTATACTTGTCGTCATATGACATTTCATTTGCTTCACCACCTTGTGGTTGGTTTAAGTCTCTTAACATTTTTATACATCCGTCAATGACACCAAGAGCAGAATGGTTTTGGTCGACAATGAAATATTGGTTTACATTTTTTGAACGCAGATAGTTTTTAATCATCTGATTTGAAAGAACTTTCACAGTCAGATGTCAGTTTTGTTGGATGGTATTTGTCAACGAATATTGTCAAAGCAGTTTTCACATCTAAAATATTTTTGGACCATAATGGTATGGCTTCACAGTATCTTGTGTTTTGACCAACAAATATTAACCAGTATGGTGGTCCATCTTTCTAACTCTCGGAATGTTTTCCAAGATATCCATAAACCAAGCATTTGGTGTTGAACTAAAGATTTTTATCATGAGTGCTTTCTTTGTCGCTTTAGAAACATAGGGGTCCTTGTTCGGATTCGTCATTTTTTACCCTATAAGAAATGGGTTTATTTGGCGCATTAGCAGGAGTCGCATCTAGATTTTTACCCGCAGTGGGAACAATAGCCAGAGGTGCATTTGGAGTTGGAAGGAAGATTTTGAGTACATTAGGTATACTTAAAGAGAAAGCACAACCTATTATACAAACTGTACAGAAAGGTTGGGATGTAGCACGAGATGCAACAAATCTTATTCCAAATCCTGAAACAAGAGGAAAAGTTCAAGGATGGATGGACAATGTAGGAAGACAAGCAGGAAACTATTATAACAAAGCAAATGACTACTATAACCAAGCAGGACACTATATGGACCAAGGTGAAAGATTCTTTAACAGAGGATATAACCATGCACAACAGTGGGTAAACAATAACCAACCTCAACCGCCTCAAACGTGGGGAATGTAAAGTTTTTTATTGAGATGAAATGAACAATGCAGCATTGAGACAAATGAGTTCAAGATGGATTTGTCGGCTTCCAGCATTTAAACCGATACCATATAGTCAGGCTCAGCATGTGAAACTGAATGATATTATTAAAGGAACCATCCCACCTCCACAACAACAACCAGTTGAAAACAAACCAAACTAAAATTTTTTACTGAGATGAAATGACCGAAGAAGTTGAAACGGTAGATTTGACACCACAAACAAAAAGTTCAGAACCATTGTCAAAACCTGTCAAAGAACTTACAGATGAAGAGAAAAATTCAATAATAGAAAGTGCCAGGTCTGGAAATACAAACCCTAACTATAAAGTCACTTTTCATAGAAATGGAACGGCTAGTATCTCAAAAAAGAAACAGACTCTCACAAATAAAATATTGAAGTCTGAAGGAGCTTTCGAGACAACAGATGGAAAAGTTTACTTCACTGACCAACAGTTCATTATAGAACATCTCATTGACTTAGAGTCGAAATATTCTAAACTTTACAACAAACACAAAAAGTTGAAAGGAAAACAAAAACAAATGGCATATGATATTTATGAAGATGTTGACGACACAACTGTTCCTGCAAGTGAAGTAAAGTCAGAGGAACCGAAAAGTGACGAAAAACCGATAGAAGAAGAAAAACCAAAAACTGAAGATAAACCAAAACCAAAGTTTAGTTTCCAAACTAAACCAAGTCAACCTTCATTAGCTGGTATGGGTTGGCGTCAAAGACTTATGGCAGCAGGCGGTTATGTAAAGTAAAGAAAAAAATATTTTTTTATTTTTATAAAAATGCCCCCATATAGAATGGATAGAAAGTCTGCTAGAATAAAAGCAGAGTTACAAAGATATGGTTGGAGAGTTTCGAAGAATTTTAAATATAGGAAGGGAAGACCCATAAAAGTCTATGACAAATTGTCTGGTCTTCGCTACGAAATGGATTTGGAAACAGCACGTGCCAATTATCCAAACAGACTAGAGAGGTTAGAAGAAGAACGTCTTATGGACATGCCTTTCGATGTTAGTGAACCTCAAGTTGAAGGACACGACGGCTTTGCCAGATTCTACTGGAAACATGACGAACAATTGCATCCTTTGAGAAGGAAAAAAGGAAAAGGTGAAGACGCACATGCTCCCATGGAAAGAACAAGATATGCATATGAAAAGTATCGTGAAGTTAGAAGTCAAATTACATCTGGTCGAACCTTTACAGTAAACTTTGACGAAGGAAAGAACAAAGAAGGCTTCATGGGAGTACTTGCTGCAATTCAAGACGGAAATAAGAAAGGACACAATCTCAGATTGACCATAACAGATTTGGATGGTCACATTTACTATGCACATGGCAATGAACAAACAGCCGCAAAACTTCTTGACGCTTTCAAGACTACAAAGAGAGAACAAATGGTTGACTCCGACTCAGACATTTTGAATGCAATTGAAGGAATTGCAAGTGTCAAGTTCGAATGGTACCAACCTAACCCTCAAGCAGTCAGACAACATGCTGGATACTTCCCGTTCATAAATAAGTCTGACATTGACTTGACAAGGTATGGAATTTACAATTCAATTGAAACAATTGTCAATGAACCTTGTATTCTTACATGTCTCAGGAACTCTGGTCTTGTTACAGATGAGAAGATGAAGTATCTTGAGTCATGTGTGAAGACAAGGTACATTCTCAGAGGTCAATTGGCAAAAATTGCACCGTTGGCAAATGTCAATATCCGAGTCAACATACCTACAGCTAAAGGTTCTTCACATGACGACTATGTTGTTGACAAAGACTTACCATGGTTGAAGATTGTAATTGTCCACAACCACTTCATGTTGAACGAAAGTCTTACAAACCCATTCTTTGGTAAAAGTAAGTGCAACATTGTCAGAGCTGTAAACATTCTTTTCGAGAAAGGTTTGTTGGAACCAATTCCAGATGACAAGCTGACAGAAACTTTTGTACCAAAAGACGAAACAAACTTTTCATTGTTAGCAAGACCAAAAGTTGTTCCAGACAAAGTTCTAGTACAAAAGAAGTACACAGTTCCACAAGGGGTTGGTATGTTCGGATACCAACCTGAACCAGAAGAACTTCCAATGAGGTTGCAAGAACTTCAAGATGCTATAAACAAACTTCCATTGAGACATCCAATTGACGTCAAATTGTATTGGAGAGCATCTGAGTTAGGTCAGAAGGTTTTATATGAAACAGGTTGCTTCGACGATGTTTATGAGATAACAGGAGAAGTTTCTCAGAAGATAAGAGACTCACTTGAATTTCCACAAACTGGACCAATTGGTTGCGACAAGTTCGACTCAGATGAAAAGATATACTATGTCGACCTTAACGCTGCATACATGAGGTTTGTCCAATATATTCCGACTGGAATTCCAAACGAAGATGGTGAGTTCCCGGGAAGGAACTATACAGTTGGAAAAGTCATACAACAACTGTATGATATTAGGAAAGCTTCAAACCCCAAACTTGCAATGACACTCAAATTGCTTATGAATTCGACATGGGGATATTCCATTAAGAAACCTCAAGAGATGAAGAGTAAACATTATGAGAAGGTCGACAACTTTGTTGAAAGGTTTTCTCCTTTTGTTTTGAAGTACGAATTCACTCAAGGTCAAAGTGGCTTAGTAACCACATTAAAACCTATTGTCGAACATTGGTCTTACCCTCAGTTCGCAAAAGCAGTCCTTGACGAGTACACAACAAATTCTTCTCCGAAGTCAAATCGAAAGTCAAGGTTTACTATGAGAACATTGACGCACTCATGACGAACGAAGAAGGATACAAACAAACTCATTGAAATGGGAATGGTCGGTGAAAAGATGGGTCAATTCAAATTGGACAAAATTTTCACCGAAGTTCATGTCCTCTCCAAGCGTAAGTACTGGGGTGTTAAAGAAGATGGTGAAATAGTTAAACATTGCATGAAATAAAAAATTTATTTTTTAAAAAGTGACATTTTTTTAATGGCGTACATCCCTGAGCGCTTCGTCCAGTTCAACCAAATGTTGGTCTCGGACCCAGGCAAGAGATATTCCAAGCCCGAACTCGACCGTCTCTTCAAAGAATGGATTGAAGACTACAGAGGAGACGAGTGGTTGACAATTGAATTTGCTCGGGCTTGGAATTGCTACAGAAGGGTCTTAGACGTGGACCCAAGACTCACGTACAGAGGTTGGGATGTGGTCTTCACATTCCAAATTGGTACGAATACCAAAAATAAAAACTTAAATTTACTTGGGGTTTCCCCCTAAAATAATTTTTTTTACTCTTAGAACCACTCGAGGTTCTCCTTACGGTTGTTGAGCTTGTCACCGTCAATGTGTCTGACCTTCGTCTTCTTGTCTGGATTTGGAACCCATTGAATTGCGACAAGCTTGCCCATGGAGATTGAACCGCGATTCCGAAGGTTAAGGTTCAAGTGTCCCAAGTTGTTGAGGACTGGGGTAAGAACCTTGCCTGTCTCCTTGTTGCGGATTTGGTATGGGTAGGGTTGGGAAATTTCGTAACCGTCATCGGCAACAAGGGTTGCCCATGTAGCGGCTTCAGGAACTTCTTCGTGTTTCTCTTCTTCCTCTTCTTCCTCTTCTTCCTCGACAATTCCTTCTTCAATTTGGTACTCACGAAGTACGGTGTTGCATGTTCTGTCCTTTCCGAGTACCTTCCAGATGGCGTCTATCTCTTCGAAGAAACGGTAGATGAGTCTGGCAAGGTCTCGGTTCTCTCTCTCGTAATTGCGCAAGGTTTCCGCGAAATCGTTCAGGCATTTCTCATTGGAAGCTTGGTTCATGAGGACATCGGCTTTGAGATTGGTCATCTCTGTCATAAGACTACTTTGGAGAGTCTTAATGGTGTTTGTCAGATGAGCTTTCAATTGGGCAATTTGAATTTGAATTGGGCGCTTGTCTGGCAACCTTGAAAGGACATCTGCCATTGTGTTCGGCTTCGGTGCTTGTTCGGACATCGAAAAAATGAAGTGGTTTGAGAATGACGGTTTTACTTCAAAAAGCTGGTTATGACAGTTAAGTCATACAACAAGTTTAAAATAATATCTTGCTCTTCTTCTGAACGTTTGTTGTCTCTTCCGATAAAAGTTTCGAACATGAGAACCAAAAAACGTTTTTTGAGGAACTGAAAGAGTTCAGGCAAATTTTCATATTCTGGATATGTTGGGAGCAGTTCAAAACATCTGAGCTGACTTTCGGACAAAATTGGGACAATGTCAGAAAATTCATCTTTGGTCGGACTGCTTGAAGGTAAGTCCCTTACATGTAAGTAGCTCTGGTAAAGTCTTCTCATTTCTGCTAACTTTTGGAGTATAGCTTCGTAGTTTAGAAGTTTCAATTTTAATTGTCTTATTCCACTCTTTACTTCTAAACGGTAAGTATCCATGAGGTCAAGAGTAGCTTTGGTAGCTTTAAGTGGAGCTATCTTCTTGACTTGTGCAATTTTAGTTGCAATTGTGGTTTGAGCTCCTTCAAGTTCGCCGTCTATGTCGTTCTCAACACCTTCAACCATAGCTTGAAACTCTTCATCGGTCCATTGAGTTTGGTGTGGGACGAATTTAACTTGCTTCATTCAAAAAATGAAAAAAATGTTTTTACTCTAAACGTGCCATGTATATGGCTATAAGAAACTTACCAGAAGGCTTCTTCTTCACATGAGTCTTTGGCAACTTGAGAGTTCTTGTTGGAGTTGGGTCTGGAATTTCAATTCTCTCTCGAGCGCAACAACAGATGTCAGAATAACATTCCCCACTGTCCTTCTTGCCACCATAAACTGTGTATTGACCGAACTTGCATTTACAGGAAGACCGGTCAATACAAGGTTCACAGTTGAAATAGTTGTACTCATACCTGGTGAGTACGAGTGTGAGTAAAAACATAAAAAAAGTGAGTTAAAATGAGATGTTTCCTGAACTGGCTGAATGTCGCCTTCACAGGTTATGTAGAACGGCTGACCAGAGAAGTGAAGGAGACCCTTGAGAATTTGGTTCATTCTTGGGAAAGGGTTCTCTCTGTTTGGAAGTAGTATCCAAGGACGCTTGGCAAAGAACTTTATAATGGCTTCCTTCTTTGCTTGCTTTATGTCGTCGAAGGCTGTCCCGTCTGGTATTTGAATTGGAATTCCAGTCGAAGTCTCGAGATTCAAGGCAGCCCTTCCCGTTATCCAACCGTTAACAAGCTTGCCTTTTACATTCTGCCTGAGGAAGTCTTTAACAAGCTCGTTAATTTCAATTAGGTAAATTGCCTCGTCGGTAGGTTCGACCTCGACCATTGCTACTGTCAGTAAAAGTACTGCTACTGTCAGAAAAAGTACTGCTACTGTCAGAAAAAGTACTGCTACTGTCAGTAAAAGTACTGCTACTGTCAGTAAAAGTACTGCTACTGTCAGTAAAAAGGAAAATTTGAGAGGGTTTTCGACGATAAAGTACTGCTACTGTCAGTAAAAGTACTGCTACTGTCAGTAAAAGTACTGCTACTGTCAGAAAAAGTACTGCTACTGTCAGTAAAAGTACTGCTAGTAGCAGATATTTTTATCGTTGTGGTCCGACAGGACACAAACGGATGACTGACGTTCCACCAACCGAGTCCATTCCCAAACCAGAGGAACCTAAAGAACCACAACAGTCTCCTCAGCAACCTCAGTTCCAGCAAGTACCTCCGAATTACTACCAATTTCCACCTCAAGGTTACTACCCACCACAAGGCTTCCAACTACCCTCCTCAGCCTATGCCTTACTTCCCCAACCCTTGGTTGTTCCAGCAAGCTCCACCCCAGCAATTCCAATTCCAATCTCAATCGAAGAGAGACCAAGACTTCGAAGAAGGTCTGAACCGCTTACGCAAAGAGTATGCTACAGCTCCAATGGAAGACGACAGGCTTTCAGTCTCTTCCCTCAAATCGACCGATTCGACTCGTACCACAGATTCGGTTCGTGACCGTGAAGACTACCTCAAGCAGTCTGAGAGACTCTTCATCCTACAACCATTTACAGTTGGAGCTCTCAAGAACATGCGCAATTACGAAGGTCAGACACCAGCTGGAGACCGCAAAACAGACGTACTCGCAAGAGCCGTCCAGCTCGTCAAAACAAAGACGGAGATAGTCGACTTCATACTTGCAGCTTGCCCTTACAAGTAAAAAAATAAACAATTACGAATTAAACTTTTTACTCTTTCTTTTCTGAGTTGTTTAGAGCTGGTTTCTCTTGTAGAAACCTTTCGTACTCTTCCATGGTCATGTAATTGCGAATTTGGTACGCAATTCCAGGTTCGTTGTTTTTGAACCTGATGTATGTAACGCTTCCATCCTCCTCAGGGAAGTAAGCTGCTAACATCTGACCAAGTTTTCTCGGTGACTCGGAGCTCATAAAAATGTCACTTTTTAAACGTTAAGTTTTTAGTCTTAATTTACCCTTTGTTTGTCAAGGTAGTATTGGAGTGCAATTTCTCCAAATTCTCTGTGTCGGAGTTCTTCAGCATTTTCCAAGGTGTACCTGGAGAACTCAAAGAAGTTGTCAAGAACATACTGCCATGCTGCTCTTCTGAGTTCGTCGGTATTTTGGAAGTGTTGCACCTTCGAGTCTTCGGACATGAAAAAAATGACACTTTTTCTATTAAACCGTTTTGGCATTTCTCATGAGTGAGTATAGTTCTGCCGAACCATTGGAAGAGAAGAAGTACCTTTGCTGGCAAAAGACAAAAATAGTTGCCTTAGTTGTCATTGCAATTGTACTCGTAATTGAATTCATTGTACTTCTCTTCACGTACCTAAAACTCAAGGACGGCATATGCTTTAAGAAGCTACCATCTTACTAAGACTAAACACTTAGATTTTTCAAGCTTGACTTTTTACAATTTGAACTTTGTTTGCGTAGATATGAATTCTGAAAGAAGTATGAGGGTCTTGTATGACTTTGTACTTCTCCCATAGTTCATGTCTGTCAAACTTACCTGCCATGGACTCTTTCATAAGTTCCATGAAATCGTCTTCGGACAATCCGGGGAAAAGTATTATGTCAGTAAGTATTCTTTTAACATCCTTACTTAAACTCTTTGCTGTCTGTACACAAATGACAACAGAGATGTTAAAGTGTCTGAGCTTCTTAAGAATTCGACACATATCTTGTTCTCTATTCTTTAACAAAGGATGAGAAGCAAAGTCATCTAAGATAAGAAGACACCTATGAGGGTATGTCTTCCAATCGTAAGATTGCAATTTCTTCGAAATGTATTCTATCTCTTTCTGTTTGTTTCCGAAGTGTTTCTTCTCTAATATTCTCTGCATTTCCTCATTTGGGTCTTTAAACTTAGAATTTATATACTCATTTATAGCATTATACTTCAAAACTCTTCTTTGGTACTTCTTTATCCAATCTAACAACTCAGTATCCTTTATACATACTAACTTAGACTTCTTTATAATATCTTTGAACGAATTGACGGTTTGGTCAAATTGACCAGAAGTCGAACAAATACACTAACTCATAGAATGGGTTCTTCTCATCTAGTTCTTGTTGTTGTGCAGCCATTTTAAGATAAGTGAAAGTCTTACCAGACCCAGGTGGTGCAATTAGACCTGTTATACCATTCTGAGCAAATAAGAACTTGTCATGTATAGGCTTTATCTGAGCATTTTCTAACTTCCTCTTGTTCTTATTTAAAACATTCTCAATTTCTTGTCAATGTCAGCAAACTTTTTTTCTAACATATTTTTAGAAAAATTAAAATTTTTATCTTTTAGAAAATGTCTAGCGATTTCGCTATCTATATTCGAGACAAACTTTTTGACAGCAAAACATCTGTCGACCATAAAATCTTACATAGTGTAAACAAGAAAGGTGAATTTGTTCTAAAGTTCTGTTTCTGGGAATATGAACAAGAACCATAAAACATTACAAAGAGCAGTCTTAAAATTTGTCAATGACAGACTTGTTGACAGAGATGACGCCGATTGGAAAGATGAAGTCCAACAAAAGTTCTTAGAATGCAAAGAAGACACATGCGGTGCTCTTGAAGATGAAATAGAAAACAGAATAGATGAGCTATTAAAGGACAAAGAACTTTTACAGAAATATGGTTCGGAGAAATTTGACATATCTCCACCAGAGAAGAAGAAGAAAGAAAAGAAAGAAAAAAAGTAGAAGAGAAGAAAGAACCTGAACCAGTTCCAGAGAAAAAGAAATTTGACATGTAAAAATAAAATTTTATTTTTAGAACATTTCTGGGTCAATGTCAATGTTCTCTTCCTCTTTAGGAGTAAACACTGGCTTAGACTCTAAAATCTTTTTACCCAATTTACCTTGAACTTCTACAACTTTAGACTCATAATATTCATAGTCGTCTGTCTTCTTTGGTTCATAAGGTATAACAAGTTTGTATGCTTTGCCTTCTTTAAGGTTTGAGAACCTTCTGTCAAAACTTTCTTTGACTGTTAACAAACCTTCTATGTCTAAGTCTTCAAATTTCGCACCATTTTTAGTCACAATAGCAAACTTAACTGGTTCGATGTTCCAAACTTTGCTGAATGAAGACTTTTCAAAATGGTAGAAGTAAACATTCAAATATGTGAATGGAGCTAACTTATCTTTGACTTCTGTCATGTATTTATTTACTGAGATGAATTTTGCCATCTTTTTCTATCGGATAAAAAAATATTTTTTTTAAAATTTACTCAGAAAAATTTTTCTTTGTATATACACCATTCTGTACGTCTAAAATACTTTTGACATTTGCCAAGAATGTACGTTTAGAAGCTGCCATATAACCATATTCTTGACAATATTGTTTATATTCATCATATAAAGACTTTTCATATAAACACTCAAAGTCGCTTTCTTCTATGAACAGTTCATATACACTCTTGTTTGCTTCTAACAATGTTTGTCTCTCTTCGGTATGTGGAATTTGTCTTGGATTGAACTTTGAAATATCTAATGTCATGAAATATGAGAACAAGTGGTTGTAAAAGTCAGATGTCAAAGTTTCTGCTAAGTCGTCAAAATATTCTGTATCTTGCATATGAGAATCTGACGTTCTGACAACTACATATCTTCTGTCAGAACTTTCTAACTTCATCGGAACAGCATTGTTTGAAACCATAATGAAGTTTGCAACATTTTCACAAACTCTTTGGTCTTTATACTTTCTTTCAACAACTCCAACTTTGTCTGTTATAAGACTCTTCAAAGCATCTGAGTTCAAAACTTTTGTTGTATCTATACTTTGAAGTTCATTGCAAACTATAAGTTTCATATTCTCTATTGAGGAGTTAAACTTGCCACAGATTTTTTCTAAGTTTGTCATATTAGGGTTCGAATAACCTTCTAACAGTTTGCATAAGATATCTGTAAAGAAAGTATTCTTACCAGTTCCTTGTTTTCCAATTATAATGAGAGCAGTTTCATTTTTAGCACTTGGATGTTGTAAGATGTTTGCAAACCAACATAAGATATACTCATAAACCTTTTCGTTTCCATTGCATATAATTTCTTTGACATGGTCTAACCAAGCTTCTATAACATTTTCTTTCCATTCTACTTGTTCGTATTTATATCCAGTGAAGATAGAATAGAAGTTTGGAGAAGGTGTATAGAACTTTATACCTCGAACTGAAAAATCTTCTAACTTTGACAATAAGATATCCCAAGCATCTAACATCTTCATGCCAACTTGTACGACTTTTATTTTCTTAAGTTTCTGTCTACATTCTTGTTCTGAAACTATTGTCGCTTTAGGTTTGTTAAAGACAACATCCCATTCTTTCATGACATAACATTCTGGGGCAGAGTCGACATAAAATGACTAAACGTTTCAAATTCTCGACTGATTTGTTATAGTCTCTAAATGGACACATATTTCTGAATGCTTGGAAGTCATAAAAATCTGAAAACATCTATTCTGTACATTTTTATAAAAATAAAAAAAAATATTATTTTTTTATTCTTGACTTTGTTGTTCCCATTTGTTGCATTTGTTGTTCTTGAGCTATTTGTTGTTGAAGTTCTTGTAATACAATACTTTCACCAGTTGCATCTTCCAATTCGAAACTTTCTGCCGTCATTGACAAATACATAGGACATAAAAGTTTTACAGGAACAAAGTTTGCGTCAACTAATGTCAACGTTATACTTGCCAAAGTGTTTGAGTTCACTAAGGTGAAAATTCTGCATTCGAATGAACAATAGGCAAACCACAGAGAAAGTATTGTTTATACGCATAAGTATCTTTTGGTCATAATAGTTTCTGTCGACATCGAATAACACTTTGAACCTAAGTTTGAAACAATATATAAGATTGGTGTGCTTAATGTCAATGGAAATAGACATTCCTTGTATGACACCTTTTCCTGTTATAGGAAACTGTTGGTAGTAAAAACCAGAAAATAAGTTTTGTATTATAGCTCATATCGTTTATAGTAAAACTCAGTCGACATCCAAACATAATGAAACCTGCTCTAGTTGCAGCACATGTTACACCCGTACTTAAAGTATTAAATAAGTCAACAAAACCTGTTGGTGGTATATCTGAGTAAGTATCTTCAAAGGAGTATTTTTTACCATTCACAACAATAAAGTCTTCTGGTGTCAAAAGAGCAAAACAGGCTTTAGTCGTCATTGTGTTTAAGGTTAGTTAGTATACATATCAAGGGTACTGAGGCACTGTGCGCCTCCTTACCCATTATATGTGAATTTGACACTTTACAAAACCGTTAACGTATATTTTACAACACAAACGACAACACTAACTTAACCTTAAATATTTACAAACCCGCCAACCACTTCACTTCACTAACGTTTTCACAAACGACTTCACTAATGTAAAAAAATAAACGTTCTCACTTACAAAAGTATTGCAACTCCTCCCATTGCTGTGCTTCATAAACAGCTCATAATCTTCTGACTCACTTTCTTCTTCATATAGGTCAAAATCACTGTCATAGTTTATACCTGTAAGTTTTACAAGCTAATGAAACACGCTTACCGTTTGTATCATATGCTTGTATAAACTTTCCATTATGCTTGTAGTCATAAACGCTCAAACTAACTTTACCTTTTCTCCCTCGTATCTGATAGAATGTATTTTCACGAGGAACGAAGAACAAATTCTTGAACTCATGACCGTTGTAGTTTGTTATCTCAATAGTTTTCGTCATTACATCCAAAATAAAATAAAAAATTATATAAAAATAAACTTAAAAATTAATGATATTACTACCTTCACGCGTATGAAAACATAGCACAAAAATAAATTTAGGTGAAGAGGTGAGATCTCACCTCTTTTTTCACCTGTTTTTTCACCCTGTTGAATTCATTGCTTTATAACTCTCTTCCTTTCTCCAACTCTTCTAACTTCTTCTTAAGTTCAGCAATGTTGTCCTCATGAAGTTTAATCTTCCTTAATATACCTTCTCTATCTAATGGTTGCTTTATCTTTCTAAACTGAACTCTACCATCCTTCATAGTATGAACATAAAAACCTTCTGGAACCGCTCCTGATTTAATGTATTCTACCAAAAACTTTTGTTTCATTGCTTCAGTGACTTTATTTGTCATTTCAATCAAATAAAAATTTTAATATTAAATAAAAATAACGTTATTTTTTCAGTAAGGAAACGCAGGAGTTTTACGATTTATTTGAGGAGTAGGTTCTGGTTTAAATGTTGGAGTCGGTTTAGGAGTTGACTTTTGAACAGGAGTTTGTACTTCCATAGGTTCAGGAGTCATTGAAGGTTTTGCTTGTGAAGGTGTCGGAGTTTGTTTAACTTCAGCTACTTCAGTATTATTTACAACATTTGCTTTATTTCTTTTCAACATCATAACCGCTCCTGCTGTAGCTAGCAAACCTAGTGGGAGACCATATCTTATATAAGGACTTGACCAAATGCTATTTTTGACAGGAGCTGGTGGAACACCTAACCTTGGTGAGACTGCTCTTTGCCATTGTGCAGCTCGTAAGAAATATTCAATAGGTGCTCCATAATCGTTTGGTAAAGTTTGTTTCATAGATGGTGAAGGTTCACGAGAGCTTGATGAAGAACTCATTTATAAACTTTAAAAATAAACGTTCATCCTTTATTCCTCACTGTCGTCCGTGGCTAAGTTATAGTCATCTAATCTTATTATGGGGATGCCTGACTGTCTTACCTGAATGGCAAAGCAACAATCCCTCATAAATCCAATAAGTGGCTTTGGTACATTTTCAGTTGCTAGTTCAATAGGTCCTTTAACAGACAATTTGTATGTTATTGGAGCAATAGATGTTTGACCTTGCTGGAAGCAAAAGTCCACTTCTGTTGGAAAACCACATAAGAAATGTGTGTTGTCATAGCTATCCCATTTATGTTCCACACTACCATCATCCACCAATGACCTCATAACATCTTCATTAAATCCTATCATATCATTGTTTGTATTGCAAGCGTTCGCAACCATTTCATAAAATACAGGTCCATATGATTTTTCAGGTTCTGCAGGCATATTTCCATAAGCTCCCATGGAAAGCTGAAGATATTTAAACTTAGGGTTCTCAAAATTAACATAATAGTTGTCTTTCTTTCTAAATAGTGCCCAAATACTTTTAACATTAATAGGCGTATAAGCTGCTGTAAATGTTGCACTTGAACTATCTGTATTCTTTGAGAATGAACCGTCCATAGGAATCCAATCCATAACTTTAACAGGAAAACATAAAGCCTCGTTTGTATAATGTTCTACAAGTTCTGTAAATAAATTTAGGGTCTAAAGAGAATGACTTTGGATGAATGAAACATTCATTAAAATCCATCTTTGTTCGAAATAGTTGCTGGGTTACAGTTGTAATAGTAACTGTTCCACTAGCTTCTACTGACTTCGTTATCATAGTGAATGGTTCATTCCATGGAACAAATTTATTTGTCGGTGGATTTGAATCTGAAGCAAATGCAACTTTAAGAGTTGGATTGAAAGCAATGATATCATTTACAGATATAGATGTGCATTGTAAGGCGTCGCTACTGAACTTTACTTTAAGCTGAATGTTTCCTGCAAAAGCTGGAATAAATCGAATAGCTTCTAATGGAAGGAATCTTCTAACAGGAATTCTTAAACGAAGCTTAAAATCAAATGATTTTCCTGCTGTAATTGGACCACTAACAATTTGTCCTGTTCTGCATGTTCCCGAATGACTCCATACATCTTCATGTCGAGTCTTTGAGAAAACATCTACTTTCTTTATTTGTTCGGTAGTTTGTGAGTTTGAAGTTATATATGCTTCTTCTCTTGCGTTGTCTTGAGAATATACGATACGACCATTTGCAAGGATTTGATATCCAGCAACTGCATAGAAAGCGTCATCGAAACCAATCCAAAATCCTGGTGGGTTTGTTTTATTGGAACCTGAACCAATTTCTTTATCTACAATAAATTGACCTTCCATTTTATACGTAATGAATGTATTGTAAAGGTCCAACATATTTTCACCAGGAGGTGAGAGATTGAATGTTACCCATGTGTTATCTTTAGCAGTTCCAGGTTGTGATGGAATCTTTGCGTCAGAATATTTTCTATTAGTGTCACCAATTTGAACTGCATTGTCTATGATATCGAAATATGAGCGAATCTGATGAATATGCTCTGCTGGAGTAAATTCGTTTAACTGTTCGTTCTGCATGTATTTACTTCAGATAAAAATATCTATTTACTTCATTATTCTCACTCTTCTTCTTGGCATTCGTGGTGGAAGTTGTTTCTTGACATTTTCAATGAACTGTACATTCTCTTTTGTCTCAACTTCTTTCACTGGTGGGTCAGGGTTCTTTGACTCGGTTTGTTTTTCAATGAAATTCACGAACTTTGCAATAAGCTCTTGGTTCGTTATTGAAAGTACATCTGGCTTCTTTTCTTCTGGTTCTATTGACTTTCAGTTTGAATAGAAGGCTTAACATGGGCTTCGTGGACTTCGCCCTTGCCATACACCTTAATGTTGTCGCTTTCTGCATTCGCTAATGGAACCTTTCTTTTTCTTACGTATATTTTACCATCTTTACTCTGACTTACGTAATAGAAAGGATGTTGTATTCCTCTTGCGTCATTTAATATAATAGACTCTCGCTCTGATTTTGACAAGCTCATTTTACATCGGTTAAAGTTTTAATTTTGTTTTTTATCTGCAGTCAAATGACTCAGACAAACCCTACGGACAAGACCCAAGGGGTCATAGATGTTGAAGCATTGAAGAAAGAAATTCGTGAGCAAATTTTATCCGAACTGAAGGAA